CAGCTATACGGCCGCTATACGAAATTGTGTACAGCAGATAGTACCTCTCACTAGTCTACATATAGTACTGGGACGAGGTCCCACTAGCAAAGAGGATTGGATTGAAATCCTTAATTTGGGGGCGTTTGTGTAGAAGTGCAGAAACTGCAATTGGGGGGACCAACGTGCTATCTCTAGGTGGCTGGCGCCAAGCATGCCCAGGAAGGTACCTGAGGCCAATGGGGATTGAACCCAAGACCTCAATGCCACTTGTGTGCCTTACGACTGAGGTAATCCGGGAGGCACAGCGACTGGCCACTCAGATGATTCTCGGTCCCTCTGCCGCCGGCTGTCCCCTGGCCGGTGTCCCCTGTTGGGGGTTCCCTGAAGGCAATCAAGGCCACCCGATGTCAGATTAGACACAATATTGAATTTACCTGGGGCCAAGTCCCACTAGCATCGATTAAAACGGTGGAACAGGGTTGTGTGACGCGCTTTTGGCATTTGAAAAATGGTTTCTGTATTTTTTTCGGATTTAAAAATCTTGCTTTCTACGAGCTAAAGAAAGTGAAATTCAGGTGAGGGTACTCGCACCAGCCAGTAGGCTGTGAGCCATCGCATTCGTCGCCCCTTTGAGAGTTCGACTCAGCCAATGGGCTGGGTCCTCTGAAGGTAGTTGCTCTCAGGCCATTATGATATTGTGTATTTCTGCACATTAAAAAAAACAAAAGAATGAGGGCGGGAAGCTTCAAAAACACCCCATGGGTAAAAAAACCATAGGATTGAAGCTTCCCGCCCAACGAAAGTGGCCAACAAAAACAACACCAAAATAATTTAAAATCATCCTATTAGCCGAACGAAACCACCCTACACCAAACTGATGCCAAACAACACTGGGCGTGGATCTGTAGCAGATCGGCGACTGAGACCTGTCACAGAACGTCCCACGTGGTCGAAAACCTGGCCGCGAAGCGTAACTCTTCGCTAGTCGGACTTGGCCCCTGGGCTGGTTAATCCGATGATAATACCTCAAGGCCATCGCAAAAAAAAAAAAAGAAAAAAAAAAAGAAAAGAAAAGTGCAGAAAATCGAGATTGAACTCCTTTTCTGCATCTTTGCCTACAACACGCCCAGATACAGGATCTTCATCCAATCCCTTTTGCTGGTGGGACCTCTCCACGGGGCAAAACCAACCAACAGCCCACGAGGTAGGTTGACACCACAGCTGTGGTGCGAGAGCTAGGGTTGGGCAGGCATTGCCTATGGGGGAAATCGGCGGTGCTAGCGCCGAGCAATGGCCAGAGGAAGGAAACGGGGATGGCCATGGAACAATATTGAGACGGTTTTTTTTTGTTTTTTTTTTTTAACGCTGAGATGCTTTTTCTCTTTCTTTTTTTTTTCCTTTTTTTTTTTTTTTTTTAATGCTGAAACAACTTTATAAAACCCGGGAAACGGGCCCGGTGTCCCTCACATGAACGCTGTGGCCACTCAGGGCTGAGAAAAAGGCACTCTTGGCCAGTCCCATCCCTAACCAGCATCATCCACCCTCTGGGACCCAGGCTTCAATAGTATCATAATCCCTGTATTGCTCATCTAAAAGAGAGGTAAAGTCTACAAAAGGTCCAGAAAAAGTCCAGAAAAAGTCCAAAAGCCAAGAACAGATCTACAAGGCGTTTGTAACAAAGAAAGGTAAAGGCTAAAAAGAAGAAAAACAAAGTCACCTGTTTCCAATCTCTTCGTACTATCGTCTTCAGCCGAATAGAACGCCGGGTCATTATAGCCGTGCAATTTTCAGTCCAGGTGCGGCGATAACGACCGGGCGTTCTATTCCGTTGAAGCCGCTCAGGCGGGCGTGCCCTCGGCAGAAGCCTTGGGCGCCACGTGCGTTCAAGGTATCGATGGCTCACGGATTTCTGCAATTCACATTCAGTATCGCCTTTCGCTGCGCTCTTCATCGTTGCGAGGGCCAAGATATTCGTTTGGCGAGAGTTCCTTGCAACTTTTTAAGTAAGTTCAGTGTACAGTATGTAATGCCCCACGCAGATTTAAAATCAAAAAAAAAAAAGAACGAACTTTTTAAGTAAGTTCAGTGTAAGGTATGTATTTGTTTTATTTTTTTTGGGAAGCACGGTATGTAATGCCCCACGAGACCCGAGAGGAAAAAAAACGAACTTTTTTAGCAAGTTCAGTGTCCGGTATGTATTTTTTTTTTTTGGGGGGGGGGGAAGTACGGTATGTAATGCCCCACGAGAGCCGTACAATACTCTCCCGCCCGAAAAAAAAAACAGACCCGCCGTCCAATACCACAGAGAGTGGCATCACGTTTATGGTGAGTGGTGGGGTGAGGCTGCAGAACGCATCTACGGGAAAAAACGTGGAAAAAAACGTGGAAACATACACCCGCGATACTTCTTTTTTTTCTGTTTTTCTTTCTTTTTTATTTTTTAACCCACGATATTTTTTCCTTTGGAGAAATTGAAGCACAAAACAAGACGCCATTGCAACGCTACACCGTACACCACCCGTCGGCCCCGAGTAGAACGCAGGGTCATGTGGTCCAAATACAGCCATAATGACCGTACGTTCTATTCAGGCGAAGACTTGTAGCCACGAGGCCTCGGCACGCGGGCCCCTCTCCCCGAGCAGAGCGTTCTAGGGCCGAGGTCCCATTAGCAAAGAGGATCAGATCGAACGCCTGAATCAGGACGTGCTCGTGCGAAGGGTGCAGAAAGTCGAGATTGAACTGCTTTTCTGCATCTCTGCTTGAAACACGTCCAGATTCAGGAGCTTAGGGCCTTGCTGCACTACTCTCGACATGCACGAAAGACAAAAATCATGGCGGTGTATCTTTTCGAATTCTAGCGGAAGATTCACTCTCGTTTTGCACATTTCGAGAGTAGTGCAGCGAGGCCCTTAATCCAATCCTCTTTGCTAGTGGGACCTTGCTCCAGGTGGATCGCCGTCGCTCTATCTTTTTTATTTTTTATTTTTTCTCCCAACAGTGGCCGTCTATTACGTATCTTTCCTATCACGTGTACAAGGACAATGTCATCTGCGAGACCGAAGAGGAGTCAGAGTGACAAAAATGGCCCACTTGCGGCCTAATCAATGGAAAAACGAGAAACGGCACAAGAGGCGCCTGCGGCGTAACCGATGGAAAACGGGGAAACAGATGCACGGGTCCCCTCTATATAGTCTTAGGAGTAGTGGTAGGAAGGTATTGAAAGGCAAAAAGAATTTGAGAGAAGAACATAGAAAGAACAAAAAGAAAAAAAAACTGTAACGCGAATAGATTGGAGCGGGACTAACCTGCTGGGCTTGTACCACCCAGGTTAGTGGGGGTATCGTTTGATTAAAAAAAAAAAAAAAAAAATGTAACGCGAAAAGAAACACAAAGGAAAACGGTCCAAACACGGCCGCCCCTAATTTTCTGCGCTAATTTTGCCTGTGCTAAGCGCCTCTTCGGCGGCGCTTGGTGCTAAACAAGATTAGGGCAGGGTTTAGCGTTTAGAGGTGAGTGATGAAGAGTCCTGGCGAAGCAACGTTGACGTTTCATTGTCTTCCTCAGTACTTCCAAGAGAGAAATGACCTAAAAGCCATCCAAGCA